TAGTAGATAAGTTAATTATTTAATTATTTTAATTCCGGTTCAACATTAATTTGTCCATTTTAGCCCCGGTTCAAGGCATTTTATATTAAATAGTGCAAAGAACCGGCCAGTTCAACAGATAAAGGGCCGGTTCACACGGTTTTTAACCGGTTTATTTCCGGTTCATTACATGATAAGATAGATAAATAATTAAATTAATGTTTAAAATCTGGTTCAATAAAAATAACTTTGTTTTGGGGCCGGTTCAAGGGCATAAATGCATTAAACTAGCCGTTCAGTACTTTTTAAACTGGTTCCAAGCAAGCACGAAAACTTAGGATTTTATTTGGTATTATGATTTGTAAATTCATTTTATTAATTATTAGAAACATAAATTGAAATATATTATTATTTTATGATTTTAGATTGATCGCACGATTCTGGTTGAGCCCGTGTTATCAGATATTGGATTTCTCAGTTTCATCATTCTGTAAGTAATAATGTGTATTTATGAGCCTTTCTGCTTTCCATATCTAAAATAAATCTGTTTTTATTATATACCTATTTTTGGAAATCTAATTAAATTATGTTAAATTATATGACAAAGGACATGCATGTAATTTCTGAATTTGTTTTGGAACCCTGTCTGTTATTTATATTTGATTCAGTTTTGTATTAGTAAATGGAAATATTTAGTTAAACTGTTATGTTAATTCTGGAAAATAATATTTTGAAAGAGTTTCAGATTTTTGAACACTACAACTAACGGCATTATGCATTAGGCAGATTTACACCCTGTACGGGTCTCCATCTAGTAAGGGTGATAGTGCTAGACATTTTAGATTTCTATTTATCAGTTTAGACTGATTTGCATAGTAGGGGTGATGGTGCTAGACATTTCAGATTTCTGTTAATCAGTTTTAACTGATTTGTACCTTGTATGAGTTCTCATCTAGTAGAGGTGATGGTGCTAGATATTTTAGAGTTCTGTTTATCGGCATGGCTGATATACTGCCGTTCTGTTATCCGGCATGGCTGATATGCTGCCATTTTGATTATCCGGACATACTGATATGTTGCTATCCTGATATCCGGGCATATGTTGCCATTCTGATTACTGGCTGACTGTGTGTCGTCGTCTTTATTATAGGCTGATTGTGTATCGCCATTCTATTTCCCGATATGTGTTACGCTCAGGATTACGAACTTCCTAAACTATGGAAAGTGTTTGTGAATAACCTATTTTCAGTAAGTTACATATTATATCTGTATGCATGTCCTTTGTTTTCATAGGTGCGAATTATTATTCACTGGGTCTATAGACTCACCCTTATTTTTTTCAAGATTCTAAGTACGTTGGTTCGGTGGATCCTGCTATCTGAGAGGAGTACGCATTATCAGCTGTTTCTGTTTAGACTTTATTGTTCAGAGTTAATTATTCTGTTTTTATCAAACTTTGTATTCCTGGGATTTTAGTATGCTCAATTTGACTACAGGCATGATTCTATTTGTGTTGACAGTTCAGTAAGTATAGTTTGGATTTTATTTGATTTATATCATATTTTATGTTCTTCAGTTAAATTCTGTATTTTTGTTAAGCTTACGGGGTTGAGATTTATTCTAATCTTTGCGCTGGTCACGTATTCGATTTTGGGTCGTGACACTTGATAAATATAATTTAAATACCAAAATTTGTTCTATTTCCTTTGATAATACAAGTGCAAACAGTGCTTCCATTCCTGATTTAAAAAAAAGTTTGCAAACATATACTTATTGGACATTTTTTTCATATTAAATGTTTTTGTCATATTTTAAATTTGTGTGTGCAAGATAGTATTAAATTTATTGATAATCTTAACCCAATTAAAATAATAATTTCTTTCTTATGGTTTCATCCAAATATATTAAAAAGTTGGAAAAATTTTATAAACAAAATAAAATGCCCCCCAAAGGTTTTCCAAAAGATATTCCAACTTTTTGGAATTAAACTTATGAATTGTTAATTGAAACTTATTCTTATAGAATTTTATTATGTAATTTTATTACTGATTATGTTAATCAAGTGATATTATATTCAGGACAATCGGATATTTGCAAGGAATTGATAGAATTTTTAAAAAACTTTTATGATAGTACTCAAGTATTATTTGGTGTTTATTATTTTACTATTCATTTGTTATTAACTCATACTATTAATATTGATGTTGTTTTATATGAGTACGATGATGATTATTATATTTCTTTATTTGGAACTATTAATGTAATGAAAAAAATGGTTAATTATTTTTAATAAATTCCCAAATTTAATCTAATTGCTACAATTTTAGATCATTGTCTCAAAATAGATGATTTACATGACTTATTAAATATTTATTATGATACTATAAAAATATCTTGTGATGTTTTAAAAAGAGTAAGAAAGATAAATAATATTTTAAATAAAATGTATATTGAATATTGCCAAATATATAAAAATATTACTTCTATCCAATAAGCAGAATCATTACCAACCCAATAATCAAAAAAGAGTAAAGGTAAAGTATTAATGAAAATTTTAGAAAGAATAAAAAGATTAAGAGGATCCTCGTTAGGCACAAGTGCAAAAAATTTAGATGAAAAAAAATTATCTCACAATTTCTTTTGAGTTTAGTGGCAAAATGCAAGTTTAAAAGAAACATTTTGAAAATCTTCGATGGTGAAAGCAAAATCGGATCAATTTTCAATCTTTTCATGCATGGTAAAGAATATTTTGGTGTCACCTATCTCAACAGTTCCAGTTAAACAAGCTTTTAATGCGAGAGGTTAAATATTAGATGAAACATGTTCAAACGTGCTCCCAACAAATGTTGAAGTTCAATCATGTTTGATGATTGGACAAGGGCTACATATAGACAATAAGAATTTATCGCAGAGCCAAATCAAAAGGATGATGAAAAAACAATTGGAACTAGAGATAGTGAAAATTAAGATAATAAAGGGATACACTAATTAAGGTAAGAGAATTATGTGAATTTTAATTCCTCTTAACCCTAAGAGGATACGTAGACAGCCTAATTGGTACATAATTAAGTTTAAATTCTTTATTATTATTATTATTATTATTGTACTTAGTATTTGAAAGATATTTATATGGTTAAATATTTATAATATTTGAAAAATATTTAATAACCCAAAAATATTTATAAGTTAATATATAAATTGTTTTGACAAAATTGAATCGGAATCAAATAAACCATGGACAAACCGAGAACGAACCGAGAATGAACCGAATTGGAATCAAAACTACAGATGAACCAGGAACTAACTGTGAATGAATCAGAACCAAAACCATGAATTGGACTGGACTAGAATTATGGACCAGACTGGATCAAACCGAAACCGGAATCGTGACAAACCGAAACCATGAATCGGATTAGAACAGTGATGAACCGGAATGAGAATCGAATCGGCCTTCAAGGTTCTTGGTCCTAATTCATCTTCTTTTTTTTTCCAGACTGAAACCAGCTGTTCGATTCCAGTCCAAGCCGGTTCAAGGCTCATGAATAGGCTTAACAAAGGTGGGTGGAGATGCAATGGAGATTGACATTTGCAAAAGCAAAAGAACGAGGCAAGAGAGGGAAGACACATATGATGGTTAGGGTTCTTCTTCCCTTATTCTTCCCCATTTCTCCCAAACACCGCAAAGCCCATTAAACGCCCTTGATTATTGTCTATCTCTCTTATCCAATTCCCCCCTCTCTTGAATCAATAGTATGAGTGTGGAGACAATGACAGATGGGGAAGCAAGGTCATTAGTTAATGATCAGATTAAGGGAGTGTTTGCACTAGAGTGGCAAGGGGAAGCTATGGCTCAACATGGGAATGTATGAGAAAAGAGAGACAGGGAGGACAATGGGAGGAAAAGAAAAAAATAATAAAGAGATGATAAAAATATTAAAATAAAAGAACTATATATGTAAGAGTAAAATAGTTATTTTCGTTCCAAAATTTCTCCACGATTATTTTTAAAATTGTAAATATTTATTTTCGTTTCAAAAATTTATCTATGATCATTTTAAAAATTATCTCCTAAATACTATTTCACTTATTTCAATTTTTTTTTACATATTTTATAAACATATCTTACTTTTTTATTAAAATTTATCTTATTTACTTTTATTTAAAACACCAACTTTTAAATTTTCAAAAATATTTGTAAAGTCCCGTTATTTATTCCATACTTTACAAGAAATGATATTTTATTCTAAAAGAAAATAAAAAAATATTTAATTTGAAAACTTGATGCCATCTGCCAAATGAACGTCCAGCCACACTGTGGACCGAATTCTGATGCCAAGTATGCCCTTTTTTTATAGGTAATTTGTATAATGTATACTAAAATTATCATTTTTTATATTTTAGATTTTGATAACACCAAACTCCATGCCAGGTATGCACATTTTTTTAATAGGTGATTTGCACAATATATTTTATAATTATTATTTTTTATATTTTATATTTTAGTAAAATAAAAATATATTAAAATGCAAAGCGTAAACAACGATAATTTAAGGTGTATCGTGTAAGGGTACGTTCGGTTGACATGAGAAGGAGAGAAGGATAAGGATTAAGTGGAATATAATTTATCTTGAATGAATAATTTTATCTCATGTTCGGTATAGGAGATAGGGTATCAGATAAAATAAATCAAGTTTACAATAAGGATATTTTTGTCTATAAAAAAAGTATATGATCCAAGGTATAAGTATTTTGGTCATTTTACAGATTTATAGAATGTATTTTTGTCCAAAAAAATTTAGTTATACTTTGATAGAAATCCAGATAAAATAATCTCACCTCCATCTCCAAAATAATTTTATTTTATTTAATCATAATATTTATTCTTACCTTCATCCGTATCAATTCTGCACCTTATATACCAAATACAAAATAAAGTAACATAATTTTAGCCTATCTTATCTGGTCGTCCAACGTGTGCTAAATCAGTCATTTCCTTATATAAACAACAAATGGCGAGCAAGCGCTGTTCATCTGGAACGCCAGAGGAGAACCCCGAGAAACAAGGCCAGAGGACACAGAAGACATGGTGCTCACGCGCCCCTCTCAGACCGCAGGCAAACCCATCAGATGCAAAGGCAATTTAATAATTTTTTCAAATTTTCGGCATCAGTTAATTATCTCGTGCTCTGAACCTTCAATCCACACTTGTTTTTCCCCTTCTTCTTCTTCTTCTTCTTCTTCTTCTTCAGCTGCAATATGCAGAAACCCCGGAGAGGCGCTGGTCATCGAAGAGATAGAAGTGGCTCCTCCAAAGACCTGGAGGTTCGGATCAAAATCACCTGTACATCGCTCTGCCACACCGACGTTACCTTCTGGAAGTTAAGCACTGTAAGTATAGCCTCGTTTTTTTTCCCCCTTTTTTGCCCTCAAATCTGTTTTCAATGTCTCTCTGGTTCTAATTTTTCTCTCCGTTTTACCTCCTCCAGGTCCATTTGCAGTCTTTCCGAGGATTTTCGGGCACGAAGCAGTCGGGTAACCGCCTCTAATTCTTTTATTCTTTTAACATATTCGAGTTTCGGACAATTGACAGTGGCGCTAGTTTAGGGTATTTTGATAGACCCAGACTCCCTGCCCAAGAAGAAGAGGGTACCAGAACAATCTACCTGCCTTGCATGTTTCTCCCAAAAGTAAATTTTTTTTTTCAGGCACACTTTTCAAAGTAGCCAGATTCCAAAATAACATGAATTGTTTTAGTATTCTCTTTTTTAAAGAGTACCGGAATGTTTACCATTTTGATACTTAGTTTCCTTTGGTATGCTAGTTTTCTCGTACTCTCAAGTGATGTTTTTGTAAGGAAAAATATGGAGAAGTGACGAAGGCATAAGGCTCGAAACCCTTTCTCATAAGCATATTTGTTTGGGTCAAGGAATAAATTAGATAAAATTTTTCCAAGATATAACAAGCTTTCAATTAATTTGGTAAAACTGATTTTCAACATGTATATTAACAAAGTGTCAATTGGATTTGAATAGACGTGTCTATTAAAAAATAACTATTAATCTAAATTTTAAAATTTAATTAGAGAAATGTTTTAAAAAAATAAATAAAATAGAAATAACTCTCTTTATATTATTGCCAAACCAAATCCAAGTCTCTAGTTATTTAATATTAAATAAATACATATGTATATATGTTGGACTTTATACTATATAAAACTTTTCAAGATTCACGAGTTTATCAATTTTATTTAAATAAACTTAAGTTTTTATATATATATATATATATATATAATAATTCCTTTCTCTAAATTTTTAGGACAGAACAAACTCTACAACTTCTTAGCTTACAAACTATACAATAATTTTTACTTCAAAAAACACAGAAAATGAAAAGCTGAGAACAAAAATTTAAAAAGCAAATTATCAATGCCGGAAAAACAAATTGGTTCGGTAGATTCTATGTGAAGGAATGAGGAATGTGTGTATCGAGAGTTGCTAGCTAAGTGGTACAGAGGTTGAGTTGATAGCTGCAAAATTCTTAGTTGACTTCATTTTTTCTCCCTCGACTTTTAGGGTGGTGGAGAGCGTGGGGGAGCAGGTGGAGGAGGTTAGCGAGGGGGACATGGTGGTCCCAGTGTTCTCCCCGCACTGCGGGCAGTGCAGGGACTGCCTGTCGACGAAGAGCAACATCTGTACAAGGTTCCCGCCGGCGCACCTCCCGGGCATGCCGAGTGATGGCACCAGCAGGTTCACGGACGCCGGCGGCCACCCCATCCACCACTACTTATACGTCTCCAGCTTCTCCGAGTTCACGGTGGTTGACGTCAACAATGTTGTCAAGCTCGATTGCGGCATCCCGGCCGACAAGGCCTGCCTGCTGGGTTGCGGAGTCAGCACCGGTAAGCGTGGACTTCCTCTTTACCCTCGCATAACGAAACTAAAAGAAAAGCCAAATTTTTGGAACAAGACTCCGGTACCCTCCCCAAAAAGAGGGTACCGGCACCCCCGGCAAGTTTCAGCCGGAACAGATGAATTTTTTCAAAATATCAGAACTTGACACGTTTTCGAGGCGGTCGGAATTCCCAAATAATATAGGGTTGTTCCGGTACCCTCTTCTTTGAGAGGGTACGGAGTGCTCACCTTTTTCAAATAGTTACCGCAGTTTTGAATATATTATGTATTATTAAATGTAAAAATTTTATAAATCAATTTTTTATTGTTTAATATGTCCCATTCAGAAAATTTAAAAAAAAACTACAAATCTTTTTAACTAAAGTTATCGCGATATAAAATTAAAAAAATATATAAAGTAATATAATTATAAATAAGTTACTTTTTTGTAATATAACTATATTATTTTAACATTGGTACATATAAAGATATAAATACGACAAAAAAAAATTGAAATACAATGATGGAGCATCAGGGCTGAGAAAGAATAGTTCACAAACGTGAATCACGACAGGAGTTGGCGCTGCCTGGAAGGTTGCCGAAGTGGAGGAGGGCAGCACGGTTGCCATATTCGGACTTGGAGCTGTGGGACTTGCGGTAAGTGAACTAAGCTGTAATATATTGCATCTTTATTTGAATTTAATTTAAATTTAATTAAAATATTTAATAAATTAGATTTAATTATAAATATTTATAATTTAAAATAAGTAGATTGAATATGAAACTAAATAATTTAATCTGTTAAAAATTTGAATATAAATTTTAATAATATTTTTTAAAATTAATAATCTTATATATATAATATAAAAAATTTAAAATTGTAAGAATTAAATTTAAGAAAATTAGAAAATTTAAGAATTAATGTAATTGATAGAATAGAGTTAAGCAATTTAAATATAAAATAGTATTATTTTCTATTAAATCAGATTTTTTTATCGAATTTCAGATTATCTATCGGATTCGGATATGGTTTAATATATATAAATCTTATAAGATTTTGGATCGAATTTAGATATAAAAATATTTAATCAGATTTAGATTTAGATATTACTGATTTAATTCAAATTCGACCCGTTTACAATCTTAAAGTTCCACCCATTTACAACTCTAAAGTGAACTAGGGATGTTTGGTGCTTCCAGGATATTTGTTTGGACATATTCTTTTATTATAAGGCAGAGAAATTCAATTTTTTATTTTGATTTATTTTTAAAAATCTAACTTTACTTCAAATATTTTAATTAATTTAATTTTTTTGTTTATTTTTTAACTCTATGTATATTTTTTAAAAAATATCTGTGTAGCTAAATATAAATTCATTAGATAAAACTTTAAAAAATAAAAAAATTCAAACAAATTTATCAGTGTTTCAGATGTTATTGAATAAATAAATATAAAATATGACTTTATCCATTTCCCTTCTTCCCATCTTAAATTAGTTCTAACTGTTATTGACAAAAGAAGAAAGGCGAAGACTACCGTACCCTCCCTTTGGGAGGGTACGGTGCCCACCCCTCTCACAAGGGGTGGGCCCCACTGCCGGGGCCCCCTGTATTGGGAGGGGGCCCCATAGCCGAGTCTTACAATCCCCCCCTCACAGAAGGGGGGATTGTACCGGTGCCCTCCCTTTGGGGAGGGCACCGGAGCGTTCACCAAGAAGAAATTAAAGTCTATCCACACCTAGAGAAAGGAAGGGATATTTTGAGTTGCTGTATAAAAAATATCGATTAAAAATTAATAAAATAAATCTTCTTTATGTAATTCTTAATTTTCCCGGAAAATTAATTCCAAATATAGTAAATAAATCCCATATATATTGCAGGTTGGGGAAGGAGCCAGGATGCTTGGGGCTTCCAAGATCATAGGAGTTGATCTAAACCCAGCAAAATTTGAGCTTGGTGGGTTGCTGATTAAACAAATACATTTGGAGTGTAAAAATAAAGTATATATTTTTAAATTAATTAATTAATTGTGCAGGGAAAAAGTTTGGATTTACAGACTTCATCAATCCCTCCGACCTCACAGAAAAATCAGTCTCCCAGGTTGCTCCCTTTGCCTAATTGTACTGTTACTTCTAAATATCAAAGCACGTAGAAGAGGAAGAAGAAGCAAGCCTTTCATAGTAACAAATAATCAAAGTAGAAATGCTTTTATTGGCAAATTTCAGGTGATCGGAGAGATGACAGATGGAGGCGCCGACTACTCCTTCGAGTGCATTGGCTTGGCTTCCGTAATGCAAGATGCCTTCAACAGCTCTCGTCCGGTATGTCTCTCTTTCTCTCTCATACGTGTCTCTCTTTCTCTCTCATATGATGATTAGCTTATATATGTATTCACTTCTGTATTATATATATAATTATATACATACATATATATATATTATTGAGAATAATACTGAAAGTATAAAATTTAAGAATATTTACAAATTCTGCTGAAGAATGAAAGTAAATTGATAAATAAATATTTGATAAAATAGTAATAATTACTTATATTATTTTTATGTTAAAATATATAAACCATCCATTCATTTAAGAAAAGTTGAATATATTACTATCCGTTTGGGTAAGAGTAAATTAGGGTTGTGAATTAAATTTTATGATATATTTGTCCAATAAAAAATTGAAATATTTAAATAAATAAAATCAAAATTTTAATTAAAAATTAAAAATTACTGAAAATAAACTCCCGTAAACAACATCCTTGTATAAACACTTGCACCCAAAATTACTTCTTTTAACCGGGTTGGAGAAGAGTAAAGCGGAGTACGGTGCTATAGACGGAAGAGTGGAAAGACCCAGGTAGATGAAGAGAACAATTCGTTTAATGAAACAAATAACAGAGAGAAAGAGAAGAGAAGTAATAATGTACTTAATTGAGTCACATGATACGCCAATATGAATGAAGGGAGAAACTTTCTTTGTCGGTAACCATGATTTATTTGTTGGTTCAAATTACACATAGTTTCTTCAGTGTTGTAACCATGATTTATTGGTTGGTTCAAACTACACATAATTTCTTCAGTGTTGGAATGCCACCAACCAAGAAAGTTTCTCCCTTTCATCCACATGGCGTATCATGTGACTCAATTATCACATTATCACTCCTTTTTCCTCTTTTGTAGCCACATTCAATTGAGGTTATAAAGCAGATTTAGATAAAATTATCACATTTTATATCCTCTTTCTTTCATATTTGATATATAAGATAGGAACTTAGTTAAAAAATTTCAAATTGCTCCCTATCTTACCTTATTTTACCACTTTAAAACAATTCTATCACAGAGTTTGTGCGGGATAGATGTATCAAGCTTAAACAGTGTATATATATATATATATATTTGGTCAATATTGTGCTTCTTTTGCCTTCTTTCTTCTGGTGTCTTCTTCTTCCACCACAATCGTCGCTGTTGCAATCTAGTCATCGTGCCAGCCACCATCCGCGGTCCAGTCATCCCACCATGAAATTTCTAGTCGATGCCTTCTTTGAACTTCTTGGCCACGAGCACTGTTGGCTTTCCATCATCACCTTTCCCTTCTATCGAGTTGCTCTCGATTTGAAAAGGGGACTGCTCTATAAACCCATCTTGTTGATGCCTTCTCCAAACTTCTCAGCCACAAGCACTGTCAACTTGCCATTCATCGCGCAACTCCCGATCTTGAAAGGGGATTGCTCTGTAAATCCATTTATAGAGTAGATCTTCATAGAGATGAAAGGGGATATCTAACGTACTGATGCCGCAGCCACTGCCAAAGCAATAGGTTCTGTCACTGCTCTCACCGATGGTCTTATTTTGATCCCAAGGCCATTAGCAGAGAGGCCGAGGACTTTCCTTTCCACTTCCAAGTGGCTGTGATGGCTAAGGTCTAATTCCTGCTTTTAACTGGCAAATGGGCTTAGGGGATATTTTAGTAATTTAATTTTTTTGCCTTTTTTTTTTTCTTAAAATTAAATTAAAATTTGTCAAGTAAGTAACCAGGAAATATAAGAATAAGGTCATTATGTAGATTAAAAATTTTATCTTATCATATTATGTCTTATTCTATCAATCAATCAAACAGGACTTATATTATTTCATTAAACAAATAATTCTCGTCTTCCGGTCTCTCCCGTCTATAGCAGGGTACTTGGCTTTACTCTTCTTCAAATGAATCAACTTGTCGTATGCTGCAAACTTATTACTTTGATGTATGCATCCTTCTACCAAGTCCTGACTTAAAATTCAGAATATTATTTAATATGTTCATGATTTTGAATACTTTCTCCAATTTAGTCACATTGATTCAACTAAATTGGTATAATTGTGTGAGATTAGGGTTGGGGAAGGACGGTGGTTATCGGGATGGAGATGCAGGGGGCGCCATTGACCCTCAACTCTTATGAGCTCCTCAGAGGCAAAACTATCGTGGGTTCAATGTTCGGAGGAATTAAAGCCAAGACCGACATTCCAATTCTTGCCAAAAAATACATGAACAAGGTACTGAAGCTTCTCCTTTTCCTCCTCATCTGCCATTAATTCTATGTTTGGAAGGAAAAAAGAAGGAATTTGGAATTAGATTTTTCATAAATTTAAAATCCAAATCCTATCGTAGTATTGGCAAAAAAGCAAAAATTGAAAATTATAAATTTTATTTGGTGTTTGAAAAAACATGATATTTGGAATTAGAAATAAGTTTTTACTATTATACCCTTATTTTGTTAATAGATTATGAATTATTTCTACTATTTTATAACCAGCAAATTTATTTTATTATTTTCCAACAAAAAAAAATTTTCCTTTCACAAATAAAATAATAGAATTTACAATGGTTATGAAATTATAGAATTTAAAATATTTTGCAAGCATTCAGCTACCATCATGTGATACTAGGTATTTGGTATTAGAATTTATTTAATTTTAAATTTTGTTGTGTTGGAATAAAAAAAATTGACTTTTTATAAATTTTAATTTTTTTATATCTATAAAAAAGTAATTTTTAAAAATTAAAATCAAATTTAATATGAAAAATTTCTCAAAATGAAAACTAAATTTCCTAAAGAATTTTATTTTCTTGATAAAAAATTGATTTACTTTGTTCATCAAACTAAATGTTATACATAAAGATGCATCTCTATTTTAAAAATTCATTAGAATCAATTATTTGACATGAGTCATAACGTGTTTGTTCATTCACGTGACTTATACATGCATATGTATTAACATGGGGTCTTAAATTTATTAGAAACAATTAGTTTAATAAAAAGTATAATTTAAAAAAATGGGTTCAAAAAAGTAAATCAAAAAAAGTGAATAATTTTCATTACTTAATTATATAAGATAATAAAAATAAATTATAGATTTTAAAATATTTTATTTATTGTTTAGAGTTGAGCTGAGGAAGAATTTTAATGAGTGGCAGGGGTTGGAAAGATAATTGAAATTTTTTACAATAATTCTTTCAAATTTAAATCTCTTGGAATCTTAGTAATTTTGATTAGATTTGAAGGGATTTCACCTTGTTGAGTAAAATTTTATCAAATTATATAAATTTAAATCTCATTTTTTAATTTCATTTATTCAAACAGTTGAAATAAAATTTTTAAATTCATATTCAAATTCTATCAAAATCTTAAGCATTTTTTTTTACCATAAGAAAGAAAAAAGAAAACATGGAGTGAGCGTTTAATTTAAACAGCTGGGTGTTAAATAGATCCGATTTAATATTTTTTCATACAGTCGATCATGATTGGACCCATTCGTTTGAAACCCATCGAGAGCAGAGCTGGGCCCGATCCAACTACTGTCTCAACAAGCAAATTTAGCCAGGACCCAAACTCAACAGTGTCCGCCAAGCATTGGTTCTTATGTGCAAATCCAGATCTTGGCAAAAGGGTCCTAACTTGAAACTAATAATTTTTTAAAGAAAAAAAATGGGAGAGAAAAAAATGATGTAAAAGAGGTTATGTTGTGTGTGTGTTTTTTGTGATGACAGTCCTTTCTCTGTCTGCAGGAGCTCAAGTTGGATCCGCTCATATCCCATGAAGTTGGTTTCCATGACATTAACAGAGCTTTTGATCTACTGCTCGAGGGAAAGAGCCTCCGATGCATCATTTGGATGGATAAATAAATTAAATGAAATGGTTTTACCCTTACTTTTATTTATTTTTATTTAAATCAGTGAAAACTGAATCATATAGATTGTCCTTGTTTTCTTTTTGAACATGAAACTCTCTCTCTCTCTTTTTTGTTTTTTTGTTTTTTTTTTTGACCTTTTCCGGTTTTTGAGTAATTATTATTTGATTATATGGCAATCAAGTTCGTGAGCTTTATTTTAACGCCAGTTTGTGTAGGCATTTTGTTTCCAAAAAGAAAAGGTGAACACTCTGGTACATGTCCTAAATATATGGTTTTGGAACCTACTCCACGTGGACCAATTGTTAGGTGCCACGTGAGCCAATTGTTATTAACTCAAACTTACCCATTCGCACACGATCAACACTCTCTCATCCTCAACAACTCAACCTCCCTGGTGGCTGTATGGACCCAGACGCTAGCCCAAGGACACGCGTTGGTTAGCGGGGTGTTGCAGAAGCCATTGGAGGCTTTCAGGTGATGCAGAAGCATGAACCGGAGGGAGCTCTTCAACAGAGCTCTCTGGACTGGGCTTTCCATTTGCAGCCTGCCGGCCACAGGAAGAAAAATGGGAAAGGAGAAGAAAGGGCCGACTGCGGCTGCAGCTGTGGCATCGCCGACAGCCGGCGTAGCCCCAAGCGCCCAGAGCTGGGCGGCGGCAGAGCTTCCAGAGCTCCTGTCGGACGACGGGAGTTGAACAGAGCTCCGAGGGGAGCTATCCTGCTTCCCCGGTCTGAAATTGGTTCCGAGAACCGATTTCTTCTAAGAAATCAGTAAATAAAAAAAATTAATATAAACATAAATTTGCCGAGTTTGTGCTGCCCTTTCACTTACTGCTTTTGAATTTGAAATCAAATGCCTGGGATGCCTAAGAGCACGCCCAACGTTCGTGTGGATCTCTGCCCTGAATGAAAGAGAGGAACAAAATGACAGAAATGCGTCCAGGTGGACCTTTGTCTGACCAAAAGGCGGAGGGAAACGGCAAAACAGGGAGGCGGCTTTCCTGGGTTGGACGACGGGGGACGTCACCCTCATGACTTCCGGAGGAGAGGGAGTTTATAACGGAGGCAAGGAGGCAATTTCAGGTGATGCAAGCCATTGGAGGCTTTTCGGGTGTGACAGAAGTTGTCACAGAAAAACCGCTGCCCACTGTCCAGTGAGGCAGGGGAGCCCGACGGAAGTACAGGGGCGGACAGCGCTAGGACGAAGCTCCTTGCTGCTACACTTGTTTGCATTCAGGCGACGGGGAGGGTGTCTACCGTGCGGATGGGTAAGTGACAATAAAAAACAACTGTCCACGTGATCAGCAACGATTGATCCACGTGAGTAATGTTTGAAAACACTCTCTTTTAGAGTAGGTACCGTAGTCTCCGCCAAAAGAAAATCTGACCTCAAAATATAGACTAGGTTGGTAAACAAATATGCCCGTTTGGATGGGCTTATTTTTCAAAAAGAAAGTGCTTTTTTATTAAGAAAGTACTTTTGATCTAAAATAGATTGTTTGTTTAAACTTCTTGAAAAAAGCAAAGGTAGAAAATAAATCAGTTTTCTGTCTTTTTCAAAACTATTTCAAATAGTTTGTAAAATCTGGTTTTGTAATAGAAGAGAGAGAGTTATTTTGGAACAAAATTGTCCCCAGTAATTTTAAAATGATCATTTTGTCCTTACAAAATCAGTCCTCCTCTTGCATTTGACCATCGTTTTTCTTCCCACCGCATGGTCGTTGTTCACTAAGTCTCTAACTGATAAACTAGATCGACAAAATAGGTGGCTGGGTTTAGGGTCAAATTTATTGTCTAGTCATAGATTGATGAGGACGAAGTCGACGAAGCAAAATTGCAGACCAGTCAAAACTTTAGTGGGATAATGTTCGATTGTGTTTCAAGATTGACTGGGTTTAGCTGCAAAATCATCTTCCAGCTAGATCATAGCCAATGAGTTGCTCAAACCTTTGGTCTCCCTTTTCCCTGACCCAACTATCCCCACAATTACCATTTGAACTCGCTCGCCAAATCTTTGCTAACCAACCCAACCACCCTATCCCGCCAAATCTTTGCTAACCAACCCAACCACCCTATCTACCTTCTTTCTTTAACTCCAATTTGAGATTAGAAGCTGAGATGAAGGCTACGAGGCCTCCTAATCATCGAACATAAAGACGACATTTGCGATTGCCTCTGGATCTACGCCTTTAGAGCCTTCATCTCTTACCAATCTCGCCTTTGTCAGCCACTATCCTCGCCTTCAACTCAGCTGCCTTCATCTTACACTAATCTTACCTTCATCTTAGCCATCATTCATTGCCTTCACTTACCACTGTCCTCACCGATTATCACTGCTTTGTTTCTTTTTGTTTTTCTATTCTTTTTTCTCTTCTCTTACAAAACCCAAAAGGAGAAAGAATGCAAAAAAAAAGTCCGTTATCATAACTTTACATACAAAAAAATAGGCTCAACTTGCATGGACTCTTGGAAGCTAAAAATGGTGACCAAGTTACTGTAGTTGGTTGGCACATGTAGCAAACGGAAACGCTAAAATTTTTTTGGAAAAAGTAAATACCCCATGAATTCAAAGTGGCAAAACTTGCTTTGTCTTTTTGACTAGGTGACCACAAAGATCAATGTTGAAGACAAATCCTTCATCTCTGGTACTCTTGGTGCCCATTGGTCTCCTCTAGAGTTCTGTTATTTGAATGTAAAATCTAATGCCACAAACTTTTTTGAGTTGTACGCTATTGGAGTTGGGTTGCAACGAAGAGGTTATAGCGTCAATGGTAGAAAGAATCTGAGAAAATTTTAGTGTGGATGTTGCAGAGGCTACAGCTCCAATAAGATGTGCCCATTTTGCCATGGAATTCGGGTCTCTTTTGATTATCCTCGAGGGTATTCTCTCTGGCTAATCATGTCAAAAATACATAATTAGAATTTTTTAAAATATTTCTCTTGAATAGATACATGTGTCTTTTGAAAGTTCTAAATGGTCAAATCCATTGTGTGTATATGCTTTGTATAGGAGAATGGATGCATTTATTTTTTATGTATAAGTAATTAATATGGTTCATGTAAGTAGAGTTTAATGGTTATTATCTATACCTATGTATATGCCTTTTACTTGGCATTTAAAAGCAACATTTTCTTCTATAATGCTTTTCCTACAAAAAAATGGTATCAAAACCAAAAATTCTTGAAGTTGAGAAAAGAATGTTGAGAGCGAAAAATTAGGCAGATGGCAAATAGTGGAGTTCTTGTTTTCTAGTTTCCTCATCTCAAAAAACAAAATAATGAAAGCTAACTTAGCTCACAAGATACGCGTGAGATTACAGAGAAGGGTTATGAAAAGCCTACCAATGAAAAGAATTTGGTACAAAATGACAAAGAGGCTTTGTCAAAAATTAGGAAGAAGAACCAACAAGCCCTCATTCTTATCCATTAATGTTTAGACATTTGAGAACATGGTTGATGCAATCACCTTAAACGAAGCTCAGGAGATTTTGAAAAATTCTCTCCAAGAAATAGACAAAGTGAAGAAGGTGAGACTTCAATATCTAAGAGGTGATTTTGAAATTTTGAAAATGAAGCAATATGAATCCATTTTGAATTATTGTTCAAGGGTGAAGGTAATTGTGAATCAATTGAATAGATATAGAGATAATGTAAAAAATGTTCATGTAGTTGAGAAGATTCTTCATTCTTTAACACCAAAATTTGATTATATAGTGTGTGTCATTGAGAATTCAAAAGATTTGAACTCCATGCTTATTAAGCAATTGGAGTGTTCTCTATACAAGCCTATGAAGCTAAGATCAAGGGAAGACAAAAAGAGCTACTTGAGCAAAACAAAGACTTCCCTGAAGGAAGATAGACAAGACAAGAGTCTAAAAGAACTGAACAAGGAAAGGGATGTGATCGTGACCAAGGAGGAAGAGAAAGAAGTAATAGAAAAAATTCCAACATTGAAGAAAAAGTCAACAACCATTTAGAGATCATGGCCATCGAGGAGAAAAAGGAAGAGAAAGATGACATATCACATTGAGAAGCTATGAGAAGTATCACATTGAGTGTTATAATCGTCATGATTTGCTTAATTATTATTCTTGATAATGTTGTAATAATGATGAAGAATATGCTCATTTTATTAATGCTGAGAAAGAAAAAGAAAAGACAAATTTGTTACTAGCACTCAAGAAAGAAGACTAGAATGACAATAGTTCATTCTTGGACTGTGGAGCGAACAATCATATGTACGGGATACAAAGACAAGTTTGTAGAACTCAATAAGAAAGTGAGAGATAATGTGTCTTTTGGAGATATTTTAAAAATCTAAATTAAAGAGATACATACAATTCTAATAGCTTCTAAAGATGGTAGCCTTAAGTTGATTAAAGATGTTTATTATTTGCTTAAATTAATAAGTAATTTTTTGAATTGGGGCAATTTTCTTGAACAAGGATATGATATTCACATGAAAAATATGCACCTTTGATTTAGTGATCCCAATGATAATTTCATTACTAAAATGTATGCACTAAAAAGTAGATTTTTTTTTTTGAATGTCAAGACAATTGAAGCAAGGTGTTTGAATGCTAGTGTGCAAGATGAAAGAAGGTGTTAGTATATGAGATTTGGTCATTTGAATTTTGAAACACCTAAAGCTATAGTAGAGAAAAAGATGATATATGGAATGACTAAAATCAAACATTCTAATAAATTATGTGAAGCTTGTTTTCTTGGCAAGAATGCTAGAAAAAGTTGTTCAAATGAGACCGCATCAAGAGCAACTAAACCACTTCAACTTATTCTTAACAATGTGCGTGAATCCATCAAATTAAAATTCATTTGTAAAAGTAAATACTTCTTACTCTATTTGTCTAACTATTCTCCTCAAAAAAGATGAATAGGAAGGAAGTCAAGTGTCAAACACTTGAGAATCTTAGGAAGCATTGTCTATGTTCATGTACAATAAGAGAGATCTAAACTTGATGATCAGAGTATCAAG